TATATTTTCCCCTTCTATCTGTGTTTACGTACGTACGTTGAAGATATAATTAAGTAACAATGTAAATGAGATTGTCATACACTTCAATATATAGTCAGATTAATTTGTACTAAACATGGATCGATCAGAGTATATTCAAAGTCCTTGTTTTGTGGTTTAATCATTTAGCTAGCTAGACTAATTTAGATTCGTGCTTCCAGCCAGAAAATCTCTAAGTCTAAACAATATTTTAATGCTAAGGACAGATAAAATATTACAGATGAGATGACAAATGAAGTATTATATATATTTCCTGGTATTCAATCTATTTATGATGTATATTTACATTTTAGCATATGTCTGCATCACAAAATTTGTTATTAAGGAAAAGTGCCTGATATACTCTTCAACTTTGTCATTTAGAGCTGATATACCTCTCATTATGAAAGTGGTTCATATATTCCCCTACTGTTATACAAATGACTCGCATATGGCAAAGTTGAGGGGTAAATTGTTGCATCTGTCTTTTTGTTTTTGTATGGAATGTTTTTGCATGACAATACATGTATCGCCAAGGGTCTTGTCAGTAACAGTCTTTCTACCTCTCATGAGATATGCGTTAGGACTCCATTTTATGGTATTATACTGAGTATGTTGTTGTCGGTATTGACAAATACATATATATCAAATTATGTTATATAGGTGGTGAAGGTACAAGCATTAGGCCAATTACAAGCAGCACACCAACAACAGAAGCAACATTTATATACACTACTTCAACAAACAATGTTCATCAAAATAGCAGTACTATTGATCAATCTAATAATACGAATGATAATCAACTAAGACGACGATACAGAGGAGTAAGACAGAGGCCATGGGGAAAATGGGCAGCTGAAATAAGAGATCCATATAAAGCAGCGCGTGTTTGGCTAGGTACTTTTGATACTGCTGAAGGAGCTGCTAGAGCTTATGATGAAGCCGCTCTTAGATTTAGAGGTAGTAAAGCAAAACTCAATTTCCCAGAAAATGTTAGATTATTGCCTTCTTCAATTCAACAACCTCCAAATACCCTTTACTCTGTTTCTTCCGAACCCGACCCAATCGTTCACACTTCTTCTCTGTATCATTCCAATTTTATCGGACATTCCTCCAGGGACGTGGAGCCTATAGTTCCCACTTCTTCTCTGGATCGTTCCAGTTTTATTATTGAATATTCCTCTAGGGATGAGAAGCCAATAGTTCACACTTCATCTCTGTATCGTTCCAATTTTATTATTGGACATTCCTCTAGGGATGTGGAGCCAATAGTTCACACGAATCGTTCCAATTTTACTGAACATTCCACTAGGGATGTGGAGCCTATAGTTCAGAGTTCTTCTCTGTATCGTTCCAATTTTATTGAACGCATCCCTAGGAATGATCCAATAGTTTATCAGATGGTGCAGCAGGGGGCATATTTTCCATATTTTCAGGCAGGTAGTACTAGTCAGAGTACAAGTGGAAGTGATTTTCATCAAGCTACAAATTCTTCTAATTGGTCAAATCATGATCATCCTTCTTCTTCATCTGGATAATTTTATTATAGGCATAATATATCATTTAACTTGGCTTCAGCTGATATCTATATGATAATTTTGAGTGTGCACAAGTAAATATTTAAATTTGTCTAAAATTGAACAAATAGACATAATTGTCCTATATGACAATTTTGTGTCATATGTGGTTGTCCTACATGTATGATGTATGTGTCTATTTATTCAATTTTATATAAATTTAAATATTTACTTACGCACACTCATAACTAAAGGACATAAATATCGGCTGAAACAAAGTTACAAGTCTAGGAAGATTTTGACTAGCTAGTAGTTATTTTTTTTTAGGAATGTATTGGTGAACAAGAATTGGCCACGTGGATGAGGTCCATTTTTTTTGGTCATGTTTTGGGATGTATTTAAGTGAGAGGGAGTTGAAAAAAAGAAGTTGAAAGGACTAAATATCTTTTTTTTCGTGTGTGAATTTAGAACTACTTATCCTTTTATTTATGATTATGATGCCAATTTTTTGTACATGATTCACTTGTATCAATTGTGATATATGCACCAATATATATTATGAAGTATTTCAAATGTTACTATAATGTTATATACTATACCGGTCATGCCAATATTTTTATTTGTTCCACCATATGGAAGTATACAATTTCACCAAGTTAAAACATTTGAAGCTTTTTACTTAATTTAGTTTTTGGTGTCATGTATAAATATGTAGAGGCAGGTCTAAGATTTTAATAGGATAGATGTATTATAATGAAAAAATGGACTTAAGATTTGTATTAAACAGTTAGGTTCTTACCATTAACTGATCATTACATTTTTAAAATTATAGGAGTAAAATTAAGATTAAATTCTTCACAATTTTTTGGTGCAGTTAGAGAAGACACCAGAACTTTTGGATGCAGTAAGAAAGTTTGAGATGAGCTTCAATTAGATTTAAATTTTAACAAAAACTACTACAATCATATTTCACTAAATTTTGTAATTTAAAAAAATTACTAATTTATAATATTAATAAGATCATATATTTATATAAGAAGCTTCCAAAAATGTATTATCTTTTTATCTTATCGAAATCAGTATTTTTTTCATTGACCCAAGCCAAGATCGGGATCTAGAAGCCCACCTTTCATCTCACGTGCATTATTAGTTTGACTAATTGTGGTCTTACTATTTGTACTTGCAAACAAAGCACGTGCCCTCAGTCAATTAAATTCGAATTAATAATACTCTACAAGAATGAAAAATTAAAAAAAAATCACATACAATATAAGAATCATTATACAACTTCCAGAACTTGAAGAACATTTCCCCTCAAATTTATTCCATTTCAACTTTGGTGTATTAATAGGGCCTTGTAATAAAGATTCTATTAGTGGGATGAAGGTCAACAATTTAAATTTAAGAATAAAATTCCTATGATAGGATAATATTCTTTTCATATCGATAAATAGAATTTTAAAACACTACATTCATGTCATACAATATATTTATGTATATCTCACTTCAACAGAAAATTCCATGTATACGTGCATGAATAATGTGTTTTCGTTTAGTTAAGTTGAGGGATATTTTTAACTGTTAATAGTTTGAGGATGGACACTATAACAGAAATAGTTTTTAGCATCAACAAATATACACAATAATAAATAGTGCTAAAGTCTTTCCCGACATTAGTTAATTGTCATTGGGTCCAATATCGCTAAAGGCTTTTGAGATATATATAACTAGTGATATGCCGCTAAAAATACATATATATAGCGGCAATTAAGCTATTGCCGTTAATTAATTACTGCTAAAGATTATTTTTTATGTAGTGGAAACTAATAATTTGCGACAAGTTCAAAAGTGTTCTCAATACTTCTCTCTAATTTTTTTTATTATATAAAATTGAATAACAATAAAATACTAAGTGTAATCTACAACTTAGGTTTGAAAAGAGTAGAATGTATGCATACCTTATGAAGTAAAAGTGTAAATAATACAAATTTTCAATGAAAAATTATAACATAAAATTAGAATAATAAAATATGGCTTTGAGAAGTTGATATAATAATATTGAATGGTGTTGCACTGAATTTGTAAGTTGATACATATAAAATATCAAAATAGTGTTTGTTGCAATTCTTAAAATTTGAAGAATACTCCAAAGAAAAAATTTGATCTTTTTGTAAACAGACGGCAATAGATTTTGCATAATGCAGAAGGTTTGACTGTTTGAGAGATTTCAAAATATTCAATCAGAAGCAAATAGAAATTGTGAAAGAGGAATGAAAAAGGTAAATTCATAAATAATAATGTGGGTTCATGTTAACCGTCTAAATATAAATAAAACAATAAAATGAATAACTACATAAAAAAGATACTATAATTACTTAAAACTATTTCATTTCTCTTTTCAAATTTAGCACTGTCCCAAAAAATTGAAATCCTAAATCATTGCTTTAGTAACCTTATAATCGAGCTCTAATCCTACTATTTCTACTTACAAAAGCACGTACCCTAAGTCAATTTATTCGAATTAATAATATTCTAAAAGAATGAAAAATTCAAAAAAAAATCACATACAATACAAGAATCATTATACAACTTCCAGAACTTCAAGAACATTTCCCCTAAAGTTTATTCAATTTCAATTTTGGTGTATTAATAGGGCCATATATAAAGATTCTATTAGTGGGGTCAACGTCAACAACTTATATTTTAAGAACAAAATTTTCGTAGGATAATATTCTTTTCATATTGACTAGTACAATAAACAAAATATTGTTTTGGTACAAATAATATTTTTTGAAAATATTCAGACAATAAACTAAGATATTATATATATTGTTAGAAAAGTTTGATGATTATCATCCTTATATTCTATAGATAAACTGCCAATAAACACTCTTAGGAAATAAGAAATTAACGATAGGATAAAATTTTAAAGCTAACTAATAAAAAAAAATTATGCTAATCTCATTTGACTAAGGATTAACGATGAATTGTAAACGAGAGAGCGGCACACTAAAATGATGTGGTACCTAATTTGAAAATAATCTAGAAAAAAAATGATTTTTGAGCTAAAATTTAGTTTTTGAGTTTTTCTAAAAAAAAAAAAAAATTTATTCCAGAATTTATATTTTATAATAAAAAGAAAAGGTCATCAATTGTGACTTTAGTTATAATTTTATCTACCCAGTCTCTCCTTATACAGGCTCTTATTAAAGAGATTGTTCGTAGAATATAAGAAAATTATAGTATTAAAAAATAACTAGACTATCATTGTAATTGGAGAACTTGTGGTCTAAAACAATCCATTGCATGTAAACCAAATAACGATCTAGATATTATTTTCAAAGTACATATTTTTCACAAAGATAATGCAGTGGTTGAGATCGTTTTAAAAGGGGAAAAGAAACCCATTTTCCTTTTGCTAACCCCTAAAGAAATCTGCATTTCAAAATAAAACTATAGCGCTGATGAATGTGTTAAATGAGTAAATAAGCATTAATGGAAGTTGACATTTAGCATCATCAAACCTAAATTTTTGCTGGCCACAATGAATAAATCATGCGGAGAAAACATCGATAAAGATACAAAATGGGGGAAGAAAATGAAACTCCGACAACAACGAGAAAAGCAAGCAGGCAAATCGTGATAGTACAGGCAGAGGAATCAAGATTTGCGAGTTTTTGCTCCTGTTGCTTGTTCCTCAGAATAGAATACTGCAAAAAGGATTTCAACTTTGTCACAATGAACGTCCAGACCAGAATTCCTATAATTGATGCAAGTATCGGCTTGGCTCTACCTGTAGAGTTGTCCGATCCAAAGTCTTCTAAGCTTTTAGTGCAGCTTTGTGCACCATTGTTTCTTTGTGGATTTGGTGGCAACTCTTTTCGACAAGGTCAAGCAGCTTCTCCAAATTAGAAGCCCAAGAATTCAAGATGTCATTGCTGTCTTTTGGGGGTTGGAAACAGACAATACCCATAGGTCTGTCTATCTTAGCAACCAAAGCTTTTGACACAACCATTTCAGATAGGTGCTTCTCCACTTCCTGAAAAAAAAAAAAAAAAAAAGAAGATAAGAAATCACCAGACAAATGTATGCTATGAGAGGTAAGATGATTATGTGACAGCTGCAACATCTAGACAAACGGTGTTCAGTAACAATGAAGAGAAAATAGAATGGTGATTGGTTTTCAGTTCCAACATTTGAAAGTTAGTGCACAGAAGGTAAAAATTGGGAACATCTAGCAACTCTCCACTGAGTTATGTCAACAGCATTTTTTTTTTCACACTGTTAACCTTCTTTACTATTTTAGTGCATAGGTGTAACAAATTTCCTGCCATCAGCAAGAGCCAGAACAAGGATCTAAACTATTGTGAACCAGTTCTGAATTAACAAAGCTAGCAGCCAATGTTTTTCACAAGCACAGCTATATTGCTGCAAGGCACAGAGAGACCCCCAAGACTTACGGTTGCACTCGGCCTTTGCACTAAGGTTTAGACCACATTCGCTTAATAATAGCAGGACCTCTCTAAATACCACCAAAGATGAAGTAAAACATGTAGCTATTGTACACAATACTTGAAACAAATTAGGAAAAGCAATAAACTAAACACGCACCTGAATATCGAGGCACAATAAAACTGCCAGTCTCTTCAAGGTTATTCTCGAGTAGTATTTTGAGACGACAAGGATGTTCTGCAAGGAAAATAGTACTTAAAAGTGAAACCACAATTCAAGAGGAAAATGGACTGCAGCATAGATCAACTTGACAGATGCCATTATGACAAATCATCCAACAGGAGAACTAAAAGTGAGCCCTCAGATATTACATGCTCAATAACTCTCAGTTTGAGATCTTCAGCAGCCTTGTCCCCCAAAGTGCCACCAGGCATATTCTTCTCATTTTCAAACTCATCCTTGAATGTGTTCCATAAAGCAGTCCACTGAATGACCTCCATGGTAATCAATTGCTTCAGAAGCAGCCTGAAGCAAAAAAAAGAAGGAAGATACCAAAACAATCATTATGCTGAAGTTGGTTCCACTAGTGTAGAGGGTGGAGAAAATTGTAAATTTCTGAAAAAACAGTTTTTGAGAAAGTTAACATTTTATCGACAACAAAATTCCTTCTGAGCATGCAAAATTCCACATTTATATTGAAATAAAAGAGACTAGATAACTTAGTCAAGTAGTAGAATAAGGTTATATACATGCTCATTGCTTGATATTTCTGTTTAGAGTTTCAATTTTTAAAATGTTAGTTTAGAAAATAAGGACTTCAAAGATCCATTGATCATTGAATGACTCTGATCTCCTTCAGCCTTAACATGCAAGACACATATCAAATAAGCAAACATTGCAACAATGCAAAGCCCGACGAACCAGACTAGAACTCTATTGCTCTAGACTAGAACTCTATTGCTCCAGCCAATTTGACTAGGGAGGAAGTGTAAGATGGCTCAGTTGACATTTCTACTATATTAACTATTAGTAAATGAAGAAAGTATTAAGACAGTTTCTGAAAGCTAGTTTGTCACGGATACATTGGATGAATCTGTGAATAGTAAAAAAACTTAGATTCTTGATCTTTCTGAAAGATGCAGAATGATATTGTTGTTGGACAGGTGCCAAACATCCTTGACGTCCCAAAATAGAAATCGCTATATAAACTTAACTTGTGCCAAAGGAAGTATAAAATATTTATCATCAAATGGCCTATAACCACCACACAGAATGAAATAATTTCCACAGAGTTTATGGCAATTGGCAAAATTTTGAGAAATCTTACCCCACAAATCCAAATATACAAATGCAAAGATAATATCACCATAAACATAGTTATTCCTTTTTTCCTTCTTTTTTTTTATAAGTAGCAACAGTAAACGTAGTGCAATAGAGTTTTTTGCAAGAAACCTGAAATGAGGAATTTCTGAAAGATTTTTGTCCTCCAAAGTTGAGTTATGAAGACTTGATTGCATAGAATCATGGGGAGACAATACCAAGTACCAGCAAATTTTCCTCAGAACCTACATGAAATAACAGAGTTAAGCACACTGGTCAATCAATCATTATCTGCAATTAACCCTCTTCAAGATTTGGAATCTCAAATACAATGACGAGCTCCTCTATCTACATTTATACAAGTCTACAAATCGAAATGTAATTAAAAATAAAAAAATCATGCCTGATCCACTAAGAAAGGGCCTCTAATAACAACTTAAGTTAACAAAACAGAATACATTGTATCTTATTTATCAGTGACTTCAAGTTTACCAAAATAGAATACGTCCATCCATCCCACCCATTTTTCTCCTAATAATATAAACTTGGACTCTAGACCTATAAAATAATGTTACATTTATTTAATCTTCTGGAGAATAATCAATGGTCTGTAGAAAGAGTTATAGCCAGACTAATGACTCTTCCTCCCCATTAGCTTTTATGTTTCTCTTCATATTATTCACACTTCTGCATTTACACATTCTTGTTTTCTTCTTAATCTAATTATCACCAAGTCTTATGCCACAGTTTTCGAAATTTGTTTACCTTCTGCGATCAACACGGGTAGACTAAGAGCCTGTTTGGATTGTGGCTTATTTTAGGTGTTTTAAAGCCAAAATAGCTTTTAAGCAGTTTTGTAGTGTTTGGGTAAAATAAAAAAGTGCTTATAAGCACATGTTTTTAAGCCAAAAAATAAGCTAAAAGCCATAAGTAAAAATTTCCAACTTATGCCTTTATACGTCATAAGCCAAAAGGTAATCCAAAGAATGCCGACCCTTATCTTGTCAGATGAAGAGAAGCCTGACTAGCTGCATAAGAATACAAGCCCAGCTCACAATTATCTTATGATACCAGAGAAACACTAATCCTATTTCTTCTCTTCTTAAATAATTTGTTTCCCAATAAAGGGAAGAAAGAGTATCTCTTTATAAATTTGTCATATCTGATGGTTTTGTATCACCTCTACTTGATGTAGCAATTAGAATTTTCAGGTAGGTGAAAATTAATTTAATTGTCACCAAATCTTAAAGCTATGCAGCAGTGACGGATCTGTTACAACAGAATAATAATTCCCAACCTGTTTACTTTGGTCAGAGTTGGTACCTTTTATTGGTAAATCAATTTAGTTGTCACATATTTTGAATTTTATTTTTTTTGATGAAGTGAAATATCATTTAAGGCATCTAGGCAAAATGATATTGTGCAGCAGAATGATTATTCTTATATTTTCCTGTAAAGAATTGCTCATTAACCAACACTACATTTTATAGGCATACTACTTTAAAAATTCAAAACTGATTTTCCATCGAATAATACCACAAGCACCATCTCGAAATTATAATTTATGCAGAATGCGAGTAATGCATGAAAGGGACCACTTACTGGTATCCACTGTGCTGGGTCTTCTTTCACAGAAGGGATCTCATATATAGCCTTGTAACAGCGACATATTTCAAGGTAATCATTGCTATGTGAGTAATACCTGCAACAGAAGTAGAACAAATGACACTGCAGTTTAAGATGCACAAATGCAAAAAGACCATTCATTCCTCTAGAGCTATATCACTCTAAATAAGTAAGAATGTCATGCCTTAGGATTGATGACCTGCTATTGGTGTACTCCTTTTGTTTATAATACCAGTTAACTTTCTCAAAAAAAAAAGGATTGATGACCTGCTAAATCAATAATTAAGAGAATCATGCAAGGTCACTCCAACCTAAAAATTTTTGGAGACATGGCAAGAACTATTCTATGATAAATAAAATAAACTTTCTTTTACATTTGATAGGTGATGCAACTTTGAAAGACCTTTACCACTTCAAAACCCAGTATCAGCCTAGGTGACTCAAATTTATAGGGTGTAGATGAGCATAACCATGTCATTTAATTGTCATGTATTCTGAAGACAACTTCAATCACTTCTTATCATCTTGAAAGGAAGTGCAAAGTATAGCAGAACTAAAATTGTCTTCTAAAGTTTAGTCACCTGCTCCCAATAAAATTTAAAGAATGAAAGTCCATTCACAAATAAACCAAAGCAAACAGAGCAAATATGGAACTATCTCAAACATGCAGCTCTGCAAAACTTGCTTCAGTCTCTATTTATTCAACGACATCCAAGGTGTATTATCTCTTCGAAAAAAAATATGAACCTTTCTACAAAAAAGAAACATTTCTGACAAAGCACAGATAGCATTCACTTTAATCCTTTGGCACAGTTGATAAGGGGAGGAAACTAGAATTCTCATAGACAACTAAAACATATATAAAATGAAGACAATCAGAATCTTTATTCAGAAAACATGTCTAATCCAAACTCAAATGAAAGCAAGATGTAGACAAACTGCCAGAAAATGAGTAAATAAGGAAGTTATGTGTCTTAAATATTATCTTCAGTCCCGATACTGCACAAATCACCAAAACTAAGTGCAGAAGTTGCAAGCTTTAAGTATGAACACATTAACTATTCCAAGTTCTTTTAAGAAAATAAATTATGTTATCTTAAAAAATTATACTCAGTTAGCATGAAAGTGCTGAATGCTTGATAGCAAGAAGGGTGTTGCATTCAACAATTCTAGAGAAGGTAACTTGCTTAGTCCACATTTAAAACATAATCAGATGTACCTAATCATTAATTGATAGTAGATCTGCTTCAACTCTGGCAGTGACGGAATATCTGCAGCAGGCTCCTCAACCACATTTTCACCCTCCTTTGCTTTCTTCTTTTCCTTAGATGGATCAGCTTCAAACACTCTGGGATTGATCTTTCTTGAGAGTATTTGAGCACGAACATAATCTTTATGATCTAAGCATAGACGAACCTGCAATATTCAGCACCACACAGTTAGTCCAAAAGCATGGTCTCATTAAAATTTTGGGTATAAAGGAGAAGGAAGAGTTTTACCCATCAAAAAGGAGAAAAGAGAAGGAAGGGTATCACATACTTGTTCAAGAATAAAGGCTATCTTTTCAGTTTTTGCCATCGCTCCAAAGGTTTCAACCTGTTAGTTAAGCCATGGACACATTACATTGTAAGTGGGAAAAAACATAAAGAGTAAGGACCAAAATATTGCAGTTAGACATCAATTGCACAAAGCAAAAAAGACCAAGAAGACACCAAAGTGAAGGTCAACAAACACTTACCGCAACTTCTTGCATCAAATCAGCAGCCTCGCCTATGAGTTGTTGTTCTTCTTTAATCTTTGCGAGCTTCTTAATCAAGCGAGCTCTCTCAATCTCAACGTATATCTACATTCCAGATCATAATTGTTCAGTAGGGAAGAGAATCAAATTGCAGTGATGTCTTTTCATCAAAATGAAAACGTGCTCACCTTTCCAGCAGACACACTGTTCAGTGTTTTGATAAGTTCTATCTTGGTGTCAATATCGGGCGTCTGGTCAATGTACTGCATGGCTTGTTGAACCATGGCCTGTACAGCCTGCAGAAGTACCAGGGAAAACACCAAGCATATTAGTATAAAGTTTAAAGAGGACAAATGAACCCATAGTATCATGCATCAGTGTCATCGCAACTTGACAAAGTGCTGAAATGCCACAGGTATATTTTTCATGGGAATAGCTCATTCTATACACATTTACATGGGGAAAAGGAAGAGCATAACTAAAAAGGCATTTCAATATGGAATGGACAGGACTCGGGAGCTTACAAATACTCTAGTATGATTACCTGATTTTCTCAAAACACAAGCACATTGGTAGCCAATTGCCCAAGCATTCACAGATGAAGCCACTAAATGCATGTTCCTAGGTAGATGGTAAGTCAAAACAAGTAAAGGCAAAAAAAATTCTAATTAAGCACGAAGCAAATGCGATCCAACTTCTTGATCATTTTTCAGTTGCCTAGCTTCATCATGCTATGCAATTCCATGGTTCAAATACTTCTTGCATCCTTGGCCATTGCATCGCTAATTCCTATTTTTTCTTCCTATAAGTTCAATACAGAAGTAGTGGTTGGTAGAAATACCTGTCCCCTAGGCAAACACATGCAAGACCACCCATGATCTCTTATTCACTTATATCCCAAATCCAACATTCTCCCAGATAAATTTTTGCAGCCATAGGAAGCCTGGCTTAAAAGTTCCACACATATAAAGCTGCTAACCCACAATTTGGTTGCCAACATAGGTTTTTGTTTTTGTATTTTGGTCGTAGTTGACATTTTTCCTTGTACCTCACCCCTCCTAACCTCTATTTGTTTGGATTTGATTCCTAGCATTTCTGTAGGACCCCTCCACCAACATCACTAACCAAGAACTTTGGCCCTACATTCATCCTTTCCAAATTCATTTCCAAGAGAGCTAAAATGTGTCTTCACCTTCTTTTTTGGACAGGGTAAAAGCTCAAATGTGTGTTTACCTATCTTTCATTTTACTCAAATCCTACTAATCCGGTTTCGACCATTTATTTTCAATAAGCATAAATACGAATATTAGATCTAGAGGTCGAGAAACCAAATGTCGCACTGAAATAATAATCCTAATAAACAACTCCATCAAAAATCTGAAAAAGGGAATTGCAAACGAAGCCGTCTCTAAAGTAGTTCATCAATAAAACAGGCAAAATCTCGGCGCAACATGGCAATTGTGAACAGCGACATACCCAGTGAAATCCAAATGAGGATTCGAACTTGCGTATTAACCATCCTGTATGTATTTTCCTTACCAGCATTTCTTATGCTGGAACACAACAATGTAAGACTCTCTTCAGTCTTTACTACTTCTTTTTTAATGATTGAGACCCTTCAAAACATGGGGAAATGGGCCCACCCTTCTTCTATCGATCTCCACCTAAATACAAAGCTTGGTCCGCCATCCGCATAGTGTAAGACTCGCAAGTTCCTCAACTTTTTTTTAAAACTTAAGAGAGGCAAAATTCATCCAACACCCTATCAAGTAGTACCCTTTTTTTAGCAGTGTTAAAAGTGGATGGCACGAGAGTTAGTGTTCCCGTATCACTTAAAAAACAAACAGGATAACTTTCCATTTTTTCTAAGTAGACCACAGCCTATCCAAACTTCTGCTATGTTCATGGAAACATTCATAGGTAGTCCCACATATCTTTTTAATCAAGTAAACTAAAATACTAAGCACTACTCTGTGCTTTTGCTTTTCCAAAGTCCAAACAAAGGAAAGAATCTCTCTTCCATTCCTTTTGTACCAAGCAAAGCATAAAGATGAGCCTATCCACTCACCTAGACCTAGAGAAGAACATTGACCCAACGCCCTCACCTATTTCCTCATGTTACAAGTCTGCAAAGCTAAAACTGATGAAGTTTTTAATTACACACTAAGTAATCAGCACGTCTACATGCTTTTTCCATTGAATTTACAGCAAGACTACAAGATCAAGGAAGAACCTAGAAAGTGTATTATAGCTCCAGCATATCATACATACTGCACAAACAATTATACTAATACATCGAAATTTTTACATTTCAGAGAAAGAACTCAATTATTTTGGTACTATAAATCAGAAAAACAAAAAGTGAAAAAAAAGAGGATGGTCTGAAAGTAAGTCCAGTACATTGCCCTCTAAGTTCAAAACATGCCTTCTATCAGCATATCACAGGTGGGTTCTTCATCAAATCAATTTTGCTTATGTGATGGTCAAGATCAAATTTTGCTTATTTACTCAGTAAAGTATTACTATATGAAACTCAATAGGTCAAATCAAAACTTCAATTACGTGAAAAATCAAGATCTTTAGTTACTACCAACAGCTTAACCACACAATAATATACTGATCTCTAAAACTTCCTACTTTTTCCTTCACATAATTTAGCAAACAAAAACATGATTTTCAAGACCAGATTCATAAACAAACCAAAACCCAAATTTTAAAGTTGTAAAAATCAACTAATTAATAAATAAAATAGACAAACATGCCTGTTTCAATTGTCCACGGCGCTTAGACAATAGAACAATCTGTTCATTTAAAGTTTTCCATGCGCGAGCTTCAAAGCAAAGCTGAAGAATGTCTGTAGCTGCTTTTCTAGTACTGGCGACGTCGCCAGCTTGCCTCATCTGCTTCTCTACACTCAGAAGCGCCTCAATTTGCGCCTCCAATTTCCCATCACCTTCCTGTAAACAACAAAACATGATAAACAGCGCTAAGATCGAAAATTGAGCACGAATTATACAAATCGAAAGGAAAATCGAAGCTTACCATATTGATTGTTAAGTTTTTTTTTGAAGTTCGATTGAGATCGATTCTCACAAACCCTAGAAGAGAGAGAGAGAGAGAGAGAGAGAGTAGAGTTTGAAGACTTTTACTTTAGAGTGTTTTTAACTTGTTTTCTATTAATTTTATTTGTCTAGTTTTCTTGTAGGAGTAGTTATGCTTGACAAAAAAAAAGAATTGATATCTTTTAGAAAAAAATTAAATCTACATTTTAAAGTTGAAAAATTGGACATACCAATTTGATTATGAAAATTTAAAAATAATTTTATTTTATTTTTAAAAAAATTGGAGTTAGAATTGTGAAAGTTGGAAAAAAGAAGAAGTAAGGATTTGTTTTCAAGTTGAAAATGGTAATTGAAAATTAAGTTTTGTTTAATATGAATATAAATTGAGGTATGTTTTTTTTTGTATTTTTATGAGTGATTTGGAGCGGAAACTGTGAAAATAGTTTTTGAAATTGAATTTTGAATTTTATAATAATTTTATGTTCAAACAATTTGTTGAATTAATAATATTTCTCGATCTGGCAGTTTTTCGATCTTTACTTTTAGGAGCGGCAGGGCTTGGTTGATGGGGTCCTCTGTCCGCATTCAATTTGATTGTGTCTGTCTTGATCTAACATTTTGTTATGAGTTGACTGAACAAATATGGATTGAAAGTCAGATGGATTTGAGTTCAAGTGATACAACATTTTCGATCGACCATAGGGCCTATTTTATCCTTACTGAATTTATTCTATTGAAGCGTACCGTATAAGTTTATTCTCATCTTACTGGAAGTGATAGAATCTTATATGTGGAATTTTATAACAAAGGAAAGCCTTCAACCATAATACATTGTCATTTGATTGAAACAAGTTTTGTGTTGCTCACTACTCCTTAAGGCCAAAGACAAGGTCGAACCATAATTTCAAGATTGCAATCTAACACACATTATGTTACCTACACAAACTCGCTAGTCAAAGTCAAACGGTTGTTTTTCCTTCTCCGCTCATTCTTTTTCTACAAATTTGGCAGGTGGATTACCAGAGAAGGGGGGACAACTCATTTTCCTTTGCCTTGTTCAATTTTGTCTTTTCTGATTGAAAGTAGCAACACTTTACACTGCTTGGGTTGCATCATGTCCAAGACAATACTTTTTGTAAATTGAGATGGATTGATCTTCGCTTATCTTGTCTCCTCCTTGTACTAGTTGATGTTGGGGCAGTGCTTAATACGAATTTTCGCATGCCCTAGACAGGCGGGGCGGACCCACATGGTCCCTTTCGGATGCTCGAGCACCCATTAACCTCGTATCGAACTATATATACTTATATAGAAATTAAGAGATGACGTATAAAAAATTAAAGTCGAGCACCCAGGTAAGCATGAATTTCAAAATACACAATTAATTTTATTGTAATAGTTAATTGACATGTAATATTATTGATTCATTATAAAACTTATGATTAATTGATGTAAGTTCGCATTCCCGAGTAATTTGTATATCAATTTTTTTTAATGTATATGCTTATAAGTATTCAAAATTGATGATATTATAGTACATTTTAAAAACCTATTCTTCATAACATAAAAAAAAGTTTATTATAATAAAGATTCTTAAGTATGAAGATTTATTCTTAATAAACTAATGTATATATTTTTTTAAAAAAATATGATCATTATTTTTAGTTTAATGGTTTAATGAATCAAAATAGTCTATTATTAAAAAAAGACTTTAATGACATGTCATGCCAACTAGGAGAGAGTGGGCTTTTGAAGTGTCAAGTATATTTGGAGGAAAATAGTGATAGTTGAGTGATATTTTGGTCCTAAAAAAAATGATATTTCAAGGCAAATTTCTAAACTTGGATAACCAGAATTGACTCCAAATAGTTTGGTTGGTGCAGTGGTTACAAGTGCATAAGCCTGTTAGCTAGCTTATATTCCAAGGTTTGATTCCCTCTTAGCACATAAATTTTTTGTTTCAAATTCAATTCTCCTTTTTCTACTTATTTATTTCAATTTGATTTTTTTATTTTATTTTATTAAACGCCTTCCTCCCAACGCCCTAACCTGCATTGTTTTTCTAAAGACGTGTTGAATTTGTGCACTTATATTTTGTAATTGATAACTAAAGAAGCACCCACAATCTTAAAATCATGAAACCGCCCGCCACTGCAAGACAGCTTCAAGGTTCCCATCGATTACAAAGGTTTATACCATTGAGCTTGCTTATGCTCGCTCCCCTTTGATCGTATGTAATTTCTATAAGTAAAATTGAGTGTGGCTTCAATCGAGTTTGCCTCGGCTTCTTATGCACATGAGGAACCAATTGAGTGAAAATTCGTGTCAACTTTAGGTGGTTGTTGATCAAATCTGCCTATATTATTTATTTATATACAATACAAAAATGACACTTGCATATGGAGACCTAGTAAATTGAAATTACTTGCAACTAAATGGAACTTCACTTGAATAACCAATTTTCTCCCACTTCTCCATTTTCTCTGCCATGGTTATCAAACAATGCATAACAATTTGTTCAAATGTGAGTTTTTATATCCTTGTATGGAACAAACTCTAACCACAAGAACAGATGTACACATTGTTTAAATTCCAGAGTTAGATACAAAGTAAAGAATTCAAACAGCTATAGTTCTTCCAATAAATAGTTAAAACCAGCAAACACTTGTGAACCGATTATCCATCTCATCTCTTCACGATAGCAGGGAGAGCCCAGCTCGAGAAAGAGACACCGATGCATATTCATGGCTAGCAACAAGTGTTGTGTTGCATCTTAAACCTCAATAAATGATCAGTTGAACCTCCTTTTGAGTGATCTAAATAATGTCAGCAGGACGAAATAGGAATGTATTGTTGGGAAAAAATTGGTGATATTGAATTTGGTTTCTTTCCACTTGTTCTGCTTAAAGCTAGTATGAGGGTCTGGAGGAAAACTGGGACTCCAGACCAAACCCAAAATCAACCTCAGAACGACCAATTGGCGACCTGTCACTTCCTCTACCTCTAACATCACCAATTTCCTCAGAGTTACGACGTTGGGATATCTTCATAATATCATCTCCAATATCAAGATCGTCTTCCACCTTAATTCGTGTATCCCCATCAGAGATATTTATATCTGTTTCTTGAATGTTACTCTTAGGAGGCTTTGACGCCCCTTCCTGTACATAGCTGCGAAAATTGATTTTTGAAGGTTCAATCCTTGAGCAGAATAGTTGAAGAAAATTTTTTATGCATCCCCGGTTATACACCCTGTTGTCTCCCTTATAACGAAAGTTCTCATATGTGGTCTGCAGAAATCATTAGCAATAAAACAAGTCAAAATTGTATAATGAGAAGGCGATCAATCTCCTTCATCGAACAGCAATTATAAAGCCACTAAAAGTTGTATATCTATCAACTATTTTTTCTTAAAGTGTGATAGGATCACAAAAAATATTCATACAGTTCCTCTTTCAACAGCACTCTTTTTTTACTACTAAAAAGTTACTCCTTCAGATGTTTTTCCAATTCTTTTTCTTTCGGAAGTTATGGAAGACAAGAAGAATAAAGTTTAAAATAATAGAGCATCTTATGAAATAGAACAAATGGAAAAAGAGCATGAGATGGAACAAACTTAGGCATTTGTTCTTTATAGCTAAATCAACAAGTCTAGCCCGTAGAGAGGCTCTTATGAGGAATATATGAACCATCATCATGAACAAAGAAACAACACACTGACAGATTGGCAAGGGGGAAAAAAAACATTAGAAAGAAACATATATTACTCGAGGAAATACGTGTTTTACATTTTAAATTAGATGATCTCAAGTCTTAACTATAGATAATATTCTTGAAATAAAACATTCCACTTCCTCGAATATATATGAATTAACAAAATCATACAAACATTTCACATTTTTCTGGAAAAACAACCCTTGAAAAATAACCAACAAAATGTAAAGAAGAAACGTCAATAAAGAATTCCCTCCATGATAGCAAATAGAGGCCAAAAGGGAGTCATTATCTTCTACTTTTCTCCAAATCATTTGTATTAAACTTTCTAAATGCATGGACAAGTGTCACTGACAAGCCATCAATCATTTGGAAGGGATGCATAATTTTGTCCAATAACACCATGACAATAATGGAGTCATCATCTAGGAATAAAAAATATTACTATGATTGATAGTACTCAGATGCAATACAGCAGAAAAGCGTTAAATTATTAATTGTAAGAGGTTTCAAACCAAACTAACCTGATTTGTACCAATGAGATACAAATGGAAGCCAGTAAGACCTCCAACAAACCACAGTGCAATAAAACAATAGGCCATCAATGCTGCAGATGCCGGTGATTCTTTGATAGCTTTCCAAAGAGTTCCAGAATCATCCATAAGAAGTTTCAGATACAAAGCCGATATGGAAAAGACGAAAACACAAAGGAGAGCTGTTGAAGAAACAAATAGAAAGAAGCACCGATAGTTCCGCTGTGCACCAACAAAGAAGAAGAGAAAAAAGGAAAGTGTCTCAAAAGGATATCGAAACAGCACTTAGAAAAGAAGAAGAGCTTCTCTTCTCCTAAAATTTGTATATTAACTTTTTTCCAATATCAACATTTTGGAGTCAGGATACAGTTGGCACATTTCATCTTTAAATGAACCAAATAAATTAGGAAGCGTAAGAAAAGTAACAAATAGAGAATTCTCCATGGAACTTCAAGAAAAAGAAATAGTAATGAAAAAATGGATGTACTTACCTTCCCAATGCATTGACCCACCCAAGGGCAATGATGATCAAATCGCTCCACACAATTATCACATACCGAGCAATGAGAGCATCTTGGTGGACGGTACAACATGCATGTTTCACAATATTTAACTCGTACAGGCAAACCATTCACAAGGACTTCTTTGAAGCGAGGCGGTTTACTGCCAGTTTCAACGGAAGCTGAAGAATCATACCCTAGAACTTCCTCTGGAGGATGAGAATTACGAGGAACAATGCCAGGATCCTTTGCTGATGTTGAAAGTAGAAGTATAAAGACCTATGGCAACCAATACCACATTAGGATATTGAAATACTAAGAAACAACAGAATAGAGCATTATGATGATACTATAGGAT